GAAAGGGCTTCCTCCCTGCTATCGAGTCATCAGATAGCAGGGATAATTTCTGCTGCAGAGGTTCCCCCAAATGTCAGCGAGCCTTTCCAGGAGCTGGGATTTGGGGTCAGTGGCTGGGTACAGTTTCTGCCCTTTGCCTGTCTCAAGGGTAACTGCTCTCTTTGCCTTCCAGAGGTGGTTTGTGGAGCCCCTTCCATCTACCTCGACTTTGCCCGCCAGAAGCTCGATGCAAAGATTGGGGTGGCAGCACAGAACTGTTACAAGGTACCCAAGGGTGCTTTCACAGGAGAGATCAGGTGAGCCCATGGAGAAGAATGTCCATGGGTGCCCCTGGGACATTAATTTCATCCAGAGCTGTGAGTCATCTCCTTTCTCCCCAGCCCAGCAATGATCAAAGATATTGGAGCCGCATGGGTGATCCTGGGCCACTCTGAGCGAAGGCATATTTTTGGGGAGTCTGATGAGGTGAGTGACCCTGGAATGGAGAGATGGTCCAGCTCAGCTGTGCCTACAAAGGCTGGAGGGATGAGCAGTTAAAATATGACTGCAGGAGTAGGCCTGATTTATCGGTCACCTGGTTTCTTTTCCAGTTGATTGGGCAGAAGGTGGCTCATGCTCTAGCTGAGGGCCTTGGAGTCATCGCCTGCATTGGAGAGAAGCTGGATGAGAGAGAAGCTGGCATAACGGAGAAGGTGGTTTTTGAACAGACCAAGGCCATTGCTGGTGAGGGAAGAAAACAGGCTTTCTGGTGGTTTTTTTTTTTTTGGTGCTTTGAACATTTGAGAAGTGGCCATGATGGTCTGAACTAGAAGGCTATAGTGGCCATCCTGGCCTTCCTGGAAGACGTGCAGATATGTTGCTGCAAATGTTCACGCGTAATATTGACGTGATCATGTTAATAAAAGACCTGCATGTTCCAGAAAGCTTTGCAGCTCTACCTTTCCCAGCATGGCCTACTGTGCTTACCTGTACCTTCTCCTTCCTCCTCAGATAATGTGAAGGACTGGAGTAAAGTGGTTCTTGCCTATGAGCCAGTTTGGGCTATTGGAACTGGCAAAACTGCCACTCCCCAACAGGTATGAGCAGGAGAAAGGTGGCTAAATGGCCAACTGACCCTTCCCAAGACTAAAGATGCTCTCGAATGGATCCTCCCTTCCCTTTGGCAGGGAATGGTGTGCAGGGTATGTATTGCTCAGCCCTCAGTGCAACTCTTTCTGTTCCGTTGCAGGCTCAGGAAGTTCACGAGAAGCTGAGGGGGTGGCTGAAAAGCCACGTGTCTGATGCGGTTGCTCAATCAACTAGGATCATCTATGGAGGTAAATTGAGTCTGAAACCACTTTCCAGTGCAGGAACCACTTAGTTTTTCTGCTTGTTGCTGCAGCTGTACAAAATCCTCTGTTGAGGAAGCTTGGGGTTGTCAGAGCATGAAGAACCACCTCCTAGTTTGTTTGGGTAAATGAGAGACAATCTTACTTCTGTGTATAGTCAGAGGTGGCTGGTGCCTTGCAGGTCTTACCTTTGCCCTGGCCACATCTGACCTTTAAAATGCTGCTCCCTCCTCAGGTTCGGTCACTGGCAGCAACTGTAAGGAGCTGGCCTCTCAGCATGATGTGGATGGCTTCCTTGTTGGTGGAGCTTCTCTCAAGCCAGAGTTTGTGGATATCATCAACGCCAAACACTGAAGCAGCTTGTGAGGAGCAGTCCCTTGTGGTTAAGAACGAGAAACAGAAGCAAGAAGGGACCTTTCATTGCACATGTCTCAGTACAGAGGCTTTCCCCCTCCACGGTCATTGTTCTAGCTGTGCTGCTAACCCCCACCACCATGTTGCAGTCCTGTTAGTGGGAGTCTGTCTTGGCAGAGTCTTGACAGCCTCCTCTCAGAGTTAGCAAAATCCTCTGTTGCCTGCTGACCTGTGAGAGCCCACAGGCAACCTGGCCAGTGCCTCCCCCTTTCTCTGCAGTGCTGCAGGGAGAGAGGGCCACTGGTGCTGGGGGAAAGGAAAAAGGAACTACAGTCTCTTGCATCCTTTAGCTCCATCAGCAAGGAGCCCATCAGCTTAGACCCTTGTGAGATGTCTTACCTCACCTGTGTCCCGTACTGAACAATAAATCAAGAAAAGAAAAGGTGTGTCCTGGATCTTATTCAGAAGCAGCTGGGAACAAGCAGTGTACAGAATTTACTACTACTGGAGGTAGCTGGTTGCAGAGAGGGTAGTGTGGGTTTTGTGGGCTGCTTTTTTTGGAGGGCACACCGTTGCCCCAGGAGCCATTGCACAGCTTCAGCCTGCATCTTGCTATTGCAGGTTTCTCCTGCAGTATGCCCTGAATATCTCGCTTCTCTCCTGTTAGAGCTTTTCTTCAGGCCCATGGTGATTCGTGTGCGTCTTTATCCCAGTAGCTGCTGGAGCACCTGGCTGATCCTACCAGTGAGCTGATCTTTCCAGACAGGCTTGGTAAAGTGCTCATCCCTGCTCTGTGAGGACTGGTCATTGACTTTGCTGCTCATGAAATGTGGAGCAAGGCAGCTCCCTCTATGCAGGGAAGGTTTTTTGGCTATGTGCTGAGGCTGTGCTCGCTGCCTGCTTGTAACTGCGTGCTGATGGGTGAGAAAGCAACACTAGATGTTATTTCCCAGCTGCTGCACCAGATTTTCAGGTAAGGAAAGAGGAAGTGCCAAGGGTAAGGAAAGAGGAAGTGCTTCCCAAGGAGAAGCTTAGCAGGGAGGCACTATTGCCTGGGGAGCCTGTAGGAGGGGACCCTTGGTTTGTGATTGCACAGCTCAGAGATCCCCTGCCATTTCGGGCTTCTGGCCCGCAGTAGTTTTTGCAGTGGTGGCACATTCCTCCCTTGGTACCCCAGCATCACTCGAGGAGAGGGAAGGCAGGAGCTGAGAGACCAAGGAGGAGGCAGTTTGAGGAAGCCCGTGATGCTGTGGGTCCTCCCCGTCTGCCGCAGCGCCTCTAACGGGGCTCCGCCCTCCCAGCTGGAAGGGGCGGGGAGCGAAGACCCTCCCCGAGCCCCTCAGGGGCCATCTCATTCCCGGCCGGGAGCAGAAAACCCGTGCCCCGGTCCCCGTCCGGTACCTTCCTCGGTAGGAGCCTTTCGAGGAGCGGCCGGGACCGGGCAGCTGCCGG